CAAAGACATGGAGTTTCTTGTGTGTTAAGGAAAGGATGGGCAGCTGAACTGAGACCAGTGTTGCTGGAGGCTGATTCTAGATATGAGAAACATGGGGGCAGCACAGTAGTAATAATTGGAATTGGCAACTAATAATTGAAGAATAATTGATGTAATAATTTGCATCTGACTATGCAAAGATACTGGTAAAAAAAAATGGGATTTTAGCCTTAAAATTAACTCTGGCAGCTCTGTGAGCTGATGAGTTAGGTGGCAGTGGTTCAGAAAGGGTTTGTGTGGATATTCATAGTTCATCCAGTTTGTATTTGCAGTAGTTTGCTGTAGAAGACAGCTGCTCTTACTGTGTCATGAAAAATTGTATTCTTTCTCTTACCTGTCTTTGCTCATAGAAAGTTAATGAGACAGGGAAAAGTCCAGCCAGCCTGAGTTTTGTGCTGCTGTGGATATTAGTGCTGGCCCTGGGAAAGTCCCACTGGACAAAGGAGAAATGGCTGTAGGTCTCACAGCCTCAATTTTTTACTGTACAGAGGCTGCATCTTGCTGGACTCATGGGGTGAATTTGAAATTCACCGTGTCCTTAAGCTTCTCCTTTTAGCACTACAGCTTTGTTACTCTGTATTTTTAATTTTCCTGCCTTTTCAAATGGAAGTCTCATACCAGTTTACAGTAACAGATCGAGTCATAAAATCAACACTGAAATGGGAGGATGCTGGAGGAGACATTTTAAAAACTGCCCCAAATCCTCCCAGCAGCAGACGCTGCCTTTTAACATCATAGTTGGTAGTTTGCTCCTTTGCTGGGCCTTATCTGGGCTTGGCAGGGGACAAAGAAGCCTGTGCTGATAACTGTGAACGAGCAGTAACCTCTGCTCTCAGCCATCACATAAGGTTGGCTTATGAAAACAGAGAAGTAAAGGTGGAAAAGCACCTGTTCTGCTTCACTGATACAAAAGAAAGATATATATATATATAATTTGCATATATTTCAGAGCAGTGGTATAGAGGAAGATTTAAGCAGCCCCTTCTGTGTCTGTGATTAAGTGGCATGAAGTATTTGCATGGCTATAAGCCTCCTGAAAAAGGTAGGGGCTTTTGGTCATGAGCATATAAAAACAGTGAAACATGAAGTTAAGGGGCTTGTTGCAGTTTTAAAAAATAGATAAAATCAGTGTTTTCCAGCAGCTGTCCTGCTCTGCGTCAGTCAGACAGTCCAGGTTCTGTTTCTGGGGCAGGAGTGAATATTCACAGTGCTCTGTGTGTGTTTTGTGACTGGGATACCCCCTTGTTGTGTTTGTCCTCTGTGCACCAGCTTCCCTGGCTTGGCTAAGCGTGGAGGGGCTTGGTGAGCCCAGACCCTGCCCAAACCTCTGCCTGGGAAAATCTGGTGACGGTCACAGCTTGGCTTCCTTCTCACTCAGCCCCGAGGAGTTCACTTTTTCACGCTCCAGTAGTTTCTCTGCTTTCTGTCAAGGGCGTGGGATATGAAAAATGAGTGATTCTGGCACTAGGTCCTTGATGAGTGAGAGCCGTGGGGGTGAGGCGGCTGCAGCTCCATTGCCCAGCTGTGAAAAGGGGTTTTCTTACCAAATTTCCTTTGGCCTCATCTTGCCATCACGCCTTGAGGAAGTCACCAGCGCTGTGAAGCGGCAGCAGCGGTTTCCTGGTGCCTGGTGAGTCGGTGTGCGGGGCAGGACAGGTCGGGGTGGGCGTTGTGCTTCTCCCCTTGAGCCACCCTGAGCTGCCCTGCGGGGTTTGTGCCGCTCCCTGGGACCTGCTGGGCACTGGCTGGCTGCAAGCACCCTGACAAGCAGGACACCGACAAAACCTGTGACAAAAAGGGGGTTTGGCATAACCCTAGCAGCCTTGTGTGGCATTTAAATGGGTTTGAGGAGGTGGTTGACTAATCGTGGAAAAGGAGGTATTTGATCTATTCCTCCTCAAAAGTAATTGCTCAAACTGGTCGTTGTGTTTGTGGGATTGTTTATTTCTTGAAATCCAACAGAAAACCTAATCAGACAAACTTTGAGATCCATCTTTTGCAATTCAAAGGACTTGTTCTTCTGGAGAAATACATCTTAGTACATCTTCATCTTAGATCTAGGAATGGGCTGTAGGTTGTGTGATGTTGAGGTGAAAAAAATCCCTCCACCGGATTTTGAATTTGCCTTAAATTCTGGAAAGTCTTAAGGGAAGAGTTCTGATTTAAGTTCTGAAGTATTTTTTCATCTTTGCTTTCAACACTCGTCTTTGGGGCTCACCTGCAAAAATCAGGGAAGAGGTCATTAGCTGTGATGCCTTCCATTCCTAAGTGGCCCTGCTTTTCAAGGCTTCAGGATTCTTCCACTGAATTAAAATTCATGGGTGAAGTTGTGGCAGTATCTGTACTCATCTTCCTCTAAGTCTTTTCCCAAAGACTTCTGGTTTTGTGTCATTACACTTCCTTTTTCTGCTTGGAAGCAGAAGTTAGGAAATTTTAGTAGACTTCTTGCTGGTTGTGCTTTGTCTCTGACCAGAAACAAGGCAATCCTGAGTATTGCAATAAAACCCACTGTGAAAGTGCTTTATATTCGAGATCTTTGAACTTAACACTAGACCTTCTGGTTTGTCTTGGAGCTTTGCTGGTCCTGGCTTTAGGGGCCTTTTGTGAATTGGCTTAATAATTTATTCATTTTTTTTCTTAATTCCTGTCAGCCTTTTACTTGCAGCAAGGTTTTTCTTGGCTCCCCACAGCTAAGAAAGCATTGATCTTCAGCATGTCTTGTGCTGCTTCCTTTGCCTGTTGAGCGCACTGGCAATGGATGGAAATTGGGATATGGATGAAAAATGGAGAATGTTTCTCCACCATGGTGGAGAGGGACTTTGGAAAAGACACTGGAGTGACAGGACAAGAGGGAACGGCTTCCCACTGCCAGAGGGTGGGGTGAGATGGGATATTGGGAAGGAATCATTCCCTGCAGTGGTGCTGAGGCCCTGGCATGACTTTGCCTGCCCCTACAGACACGTGCATCCCGCATCCCAGGCCAGAAATACAGGATATACTTTTAGTCATGCACCTTCATTCTTTCTGTGCAACTGAAGGCAAAGGAGGATGGAGGTGCTGTGTCCTCCACCTCCACCTTTACTGTGGCAGCAGCTCTCTGACCACAGAAACAAACGACTTGCCCAGAATGGTGCCTGGGAAAGGCTGTGAGAAGATCAGAGGCACGACTGAGAAACAATTCTTATCTTCACTTGCTGCACCTGGCATTGTGAACATGTGCAATGTGTTATGGAGATTTGTTTACCAAAGGGTGGTTTCTTAATTAGCCAGTGGTGATGGTGTTTTGAATGGAGGACCAGTCAGTTCCACCTGTAGCAAACTAGGGTATAAAAAAGACATTAATAAATTTCTTAATAAATTAAAATACCAGCCTTGTGTGAATGCATTGATTATTACCCAGCTGGGGGCCCGTTGCTTTACTGACACTTTACTGCTGCTGCCATTCCAAGGGCTTTTCCTGTCCCCCTTTTGGTTCAGGAACAGAGTGTTGGAGGAGAAGGTGAGGTTGCTTCTCCTCAACTCCTCACTCCTGCGGTGAAGTGAGAAGCTAGTGGTGCCCTTTGAGATAAAGTGGTCTCATCCTTTCCCTGAGTCCCTAAAAAGGGGTGGCAGGAAAAACTACGGTCACCCTACACCGGTAGATGGGGAAATAGGAAACATTTTCCTCAATGAGAGGAAAAATGAAAGGAAGCTTTAGCAATCAGTTTAATCGTTAGCATATCTGAAAACCCAGTGCATGTGGAGAAGAAAAACAAATAACCTGCTGAGAATTGATCCTATTCCTTTTCATGATATCCCACTTTGTAGAGAACCTGCTGTATCTGAGCCCCAGGATCTTGCAGGTCCTGTACTAAATGTCTGGCTTTATCACTTGGTGCATCTAACCCCAGTAATTCTGGGGTACAGACAGCATCCAGGAATGCCAGATTATGGGATGGGAGCTGTCTGAAACAAATGATGGTCCTGCACTCAGAGATTATGGGATGGGAGCTGTCTGAAACAAATGATGTTCCTGCACTCAGAGGTAATTGAAAGGCAGGCAGCAGACCTGGCTGGAGGGGAAAGAGCCAAACAAGGTCAAGGAATTAGCTAGTCCTAGCTCCAGCATGAGGAGTGTTTGATTAATTAAAACGTACAGTGCTGGGGAGGTAACACACTGCTCCAAGGCTGCATGATGAAATCCTGCTGTGACCTGTTCAAAACAAACCAGCTGGTTTCCTTTAAGTTTTCAGAATGGGAATATGGAGGGTGCTTAATTTTCCTTGTGCTGCAGGATTACAGAGGGTGGATGAGCCATCCTGACTCCTGAGAGATTTTTTTTGTGCCATCAGTAAGGGCACAAAACGGCTGAAACTTTTGGTGTTGCTTCCAGGGCTATACCAAGTCTGGTGGGTAAAAGTCTTTGGTCTCCAGGGCAGCTGCCACTGGTGCACTCTGCCTTAGCCTCAATCGGCAAAACATCCTTCTGGGAGAGAGATTATTTTAGAGGTTGCAGAAAGCTGTTTCCTCCAGGAAAAGGAGGGACTATTTTGTTGAGACTAGGTACGTTTGTGCATGCCTTAGTGGTTAATGAGAATGCAATGGATGAGTTTTTCTCAACAAACAAAAAAAAACCCAACCCTGTGGTGATCTGATTCCTACTAATGCAGCCTTGGGTGGGATGTAGCGTGAGCTTGGCATTCTGCAAAGACACTGATGCAGTTCTATAGACACCAGCCTTTCAGTTCAGCTCCTGGGGTGCCTTATTAGCAGCGGAGTGACACAGTGAATTTTGTCTTCTCTGTGTTCAAGTTTGAATGCCTAGATTAGGTAATAGTTTCAGATTCAGTGTTCTTTTCCACTAGTTCTTTGCACACTGTAGCCATTATTTCTAAAATCACTATGAGAAAACAATCCATGATTAGTTTCCAGGTCAGAGGCTTAACAAAAGCAGCTAATCACTTTTCCTTATTGCATTTCAGGCGGCAGCTGCAGGCCTCAGCTATGTTGGGGCGTACGTCATCAACGCCTACAAGAGCTACGACAACTTTCTGCAGGACAAGTACGCCCTGCTGCCGGCTGTGATCATCATTTGCGTGGCCCTGGTGATGTTCATCATCGGGCTGATCGGCTGCTGCGCCACTTTCCGCGAGTCCCGGGTGGGCCTGGGGCTGGTGAGTGCCACCGAGGTGCAACGAAGGGAAAGGTCGTGGTGACACAAGTGCTGAAGCACTGCTTGTTTGTGCGAGTCACTGTCCTAGTTTGGGGCAAATTTGGGAGAAAACCTCCGGAAGGAGCGCCCAGAAACAAACCCCCACAGCCCCTCCCCACCCACCTGGTTCGGGAAGAATTTTCTTGGAGAGAAGTGGAAAAAAAACTGTTTATTTAACAAACAAAACACTCCCCAGCACAAAAAAAAAAAAAGAACAACACCAGATGACTACAAAACTCTTTCACCACTCTGAAGAGATGACAAATCCAGAAAGTCTCTCCTGGGAGTGGTCACCCAGGTCTGGGCACTGGGGATTGCTTTGGGCACTGGGGATTGCTCTGGGCGCTGGGGATTGCTCTGGGCACTGGGATTGCTCTGGGCACTGGGAATTGCTCTGGGCACTGGGGATTGCTCTGGGCACTGAGGATTGCTCTGGGCACTGGGAATTGCTGCTGCAGATCACAGAGCGCAGCTCTTGGTGCTGCTCGGTGTTTCCAGGTCCCACTCCGGAGCAGGTTGTGTGGTATTCAGGAAAGGGAAAGGAAAAAACCAGTCCAGGGAAAAAATTGGACTGCTTAGCTAAACTAGCTAACAAGCAGAAGCAGGAGCAAGAGCAAGCAGGCAAAGCAAGCCAGCAACAGCCAGCAAGCAAAGCAAAGCAAGCCAGCCAGCACCAGCCTCTTCTAGACAGCAGACCATGGCGGGACGTGAGCCGGCTGATAACAAGACGAAACAAACCTTCACTTTCAGAGTCAGTTCTGAAAGCACAGAACAGAATATCAAACATAAACAGAACACACGGCTGGGGATACAAACACTATAATGTCACCCTAGGACATTCACCTGTGGCTGAGATGCTGTGATCTGCCTCAGTGAGCTAAGGGAAGATGAGTGTGGGGAGCAGCAAGTTTTGAGGAGTGAGGTGGTGGAAATATGAGTTTCTAAGCGAGCAGACCATATGTGTATCCATTTTTCTGCTGACTTCAGTCCTCTGAACATGGCCCAAACCGAGCCCCTCAACTCAACCCATGTGTTGAGTTCCTGTGGCTGATCCGGGTGCCCAGTGCAGTTCTTAGTCTCTTGCTGCCAGCAGCTCTGGGGGACACTGTTGTCCTCTGAGTTTTGAGGTGATGAAGGAACAGGTGGAAATATGAATTTCTAAGCAAGAATACCAGATGTGTATCCATTTTTCTGCTGACTTCAGTCCTCTGAGTGCTGAAAGCATGCCTTGACTGCTCACAGAATTACTTTTAAAAATCCAGGAAGGTTCACTTAGAGTTAGCTTCATGCCCAGAGTCATGCCCTGAAGGTAGTGTGAGCCCAACAAGCAGTGCACAGTGTACCTCACTCAGCTGCTGGTTTATCTGTGCGCTCTCCCCTTTGACATCCACCTTGTCAAGTGTTCACTAGGCTCTTTGCACAGGTCACATCGTGGCAGTGTTCAGGATCAGGCACAGAGCCTGTGGGGCCACAGTCATCATCCCAGACATGCACAGTAATCCCCAAAACGTTTGGGTTATCCGGTTCCAACCCCTTTTTCATGGGCAGGGACAGCTTCCACTGGACCAGCCAATACCACCATGTTGCTCCAAACCCTGTCCAACCTGGCCTTGAACAATCCTAGGGGTGAGGCAGCTTCTTCTATCCTAAATTATCTTCTGGGAACTATTTTGATTGGAGAGGCAATAAGAGATAACGATCACTTACTGCTGTAAATTAATGTTAAGTGTATTGTGCAGTTGAGTTCAAGTGCTGTGGGATTCTCTCTTACTGTCTCTCTTTTTTATTTTCAGTTCTTGGCCATTATCCTGGTTATCTTCATTGCAGAAGTATCCACTTTTGTCTTGGGATTTGTTTACAGGGAAAAGGTAAATTAAGAATTAACATCTCTGTCCCAGCATAAAAGTAAAGATTACATCTCGCATTGTTTGATCATTCCAATTTATCTGTTTTTTTTTTTTACTTCATCCCTTGTCCTGCAACCCGCAGAGCAAATGGGAATGGGGATGTCTTTGTTGGGAACACGGTGAATATATAAAGTACCTGGCAGATATCATAACAGTCTCTGAGTTGGATTAAACAGTTTCTGATGCTCCCAAAGGAGGGCTTTTCCATCAAGGGCAGCAACCCAGGAACGTGATTCCGGCTACGTGCCGCCTGAATTTTGTCTAAAACATTGCTTGATTTTTCTTATTTCTTATTTTTTCCCCCCAACTTATTTGGGATACGGATATTTTGCAGTTTCCACCAGATAAAATTTTCAGCTCTCACATTAAAATTGTCTGCATTGTTTTTCCTCTCTCTAAACAGGTAAAAACAGATGTGCAAGGTACAATGCGCTCAGTCTTTGAGAAGTATGATGGCAAAGACCCAGAGTCTACAGTTGTGGATTACTTGCAAACACAGGTAAGAAAATATTTAAGCATTGTTTGGAAAAGAACAGTTGGGTCCTAAACAAAGAATTTAAGCTGGGAAAGAAGTGGGGAGGATGAGTGGAGCAGTATCCTGGAACTTGGATCCCCTCACTTTGCAGAGGTGTGTTCAGGCTATGGGTGTGAAGTTACGCAGTGAGGGATGTGGTTGATGTGAGTGACATTTGCATTACAGCAAATAAAGTCCCTATGAATAACTGCTGCTGAGAACACCACACCATAAAATAGTGAGATGATGGAAGACTCTACCCTGCAACTTGTCACCTTCCTGTTGGAGCTTTCACAAAGAATAAACTAAGAGGGATGTCCTAATCTGTGAAGGAGATTGATTTATTACATCTATGACTTTTCCTGAAGCACCACTGCTTGTAAATCTGCTGCAAACTGCTGGCAGCTCTGGCTCTTAACTCACCATGAGCATTCACATATATGAACGTATATTATATATATATATAATGTAACTAGGAATATTGCTATAATGCTGTGTAACATAACTGCTGCGTCACTGTCCTGTGTTTGGTAGCTTCACTGCTGCGGGGTTAAGAACTACAGTGACTGGACGAGCAGCCAGTGGTTTAATTCCACTGGGAACCAGAGTGTTCCCCTGAGCTGCTGCCAGCAAGAGGCCAGGAACTGCACCGGGCGCCTGGATCAGCCGCAGGAACTCAACACACGGGTGAGGATGAGGGGCTCGGTTTGGGCCATGTTCATTTTCAGCCAGGTGGAACCGTGGAGGGAAGCACGCCAGGAAGAGTTTAGGGATATGCCCGTAGCTGTAGTTGTTTAAACTGATCTGGGGCAGGGGAGCAGACTCATCTGAGACTGACCACGCTGAATCTGGAGGATGACGATGCTCTGAGGGCTGGATCCCCTTCTGCTCTGGAGCCAGCCTGGCAGAGCTGGGGCTGTTCCCCTGCACAAGAGAAGCTCCAGGGAGAGCTCAGAGCCCCTGCCAGGGCCTCAAGGTTGCCTGTAAGGAAGATGAGGTCAAACATTTTAGCAGGGCCTGTTGCAAAACGACAAGGGGTAATGTTTTTAAGCTAGAGGAGGATCAGTGTAGATCAGATATGAGGATGGGGAGGCTCTGGCACAGGTTGCCCACAGGAGCTGTGGCTGCCTGTGGATCACTGGAAGTGTCCAAGGCCAGGTTGGACAGGGCTTGGAGCAGCCTGGAAGAGTGGAAGGTGTCCTTGCCCATGGCAGGGGGTGGAACTGAATGATCTTTAAAGTCCCTTCCAACCCAAACCATTCTGTGATTCTATTAACTCCATACCAGGTTGTCTAGTCTGGGCATAAGCCCCTAAGTTGACTTCTGTAGATACCATTGATGGCCATTCCGGCTCTAGGGCTCTTGTTTAAATGACCTGACCTAGAAGAAATTCAGATGCAGCAGTTGTCAGTAATTGGCAGTTTCTCAGTGCCTCTCCTCGTGCAGGAGGAAATAAGCCATCAGGTCTGGAAGACAAGAATGGAGTTCCTCAGCTCTGCAGCACTGATTGTACAGGCCTTACCAGGCCCTGCTTCCTCTGGAGAGCTGGGGGGGAAATAATAAAAACTTCCAGCTGGGTGAACACCTTTTAACATGTTTCTGCCTCTCTCTTTCGTGACAGGGCTGTGCACAGGAGCTGGAGACTAGGCTGCAGAGCGTTATCAGCTATGCCATGCTGGTAATCCTGGGGTTTGCCATTGTAAAGGTAAATGCTGATGTCTCTTCTCTCATGGAAAATAGTAGTTTGCCCTTGGATCTCGGGTCTTCTTCGTCTTCATTATCCTAACAGCCCTACAGCTTTCTTCTGCCTCTGAAATAGACTCAGTCCTGTTCCTCACTTGTGTTTTTCCAGCTGTCTCTGTTTCATCTGCCTCACGATGATGGGAGGGATTCAAAAGACAGTAGGGGATTTGGGCTGGAAATTCAGTGTGGAATCCATTTTATCATAGTCACAGAATCCCAGGATTGTTTAGTTCTTAAGGGACCTTAAAGCCCATCCAGTCCCACCCCCCACCATGGGCAGGGACACCTTCCACCTCCTCCAAGCCCCATCCAGCCTGGCCTGGGACACTGCCAGGGATCCAGGGACAGCCACAGCTGCTCTGGGCACCTGTGCCAGGGCCTGCCCACCCTCCCAAGGAACAATTCCTTCCAAATATCCCATCCATCCCTGCCCTTCCTGGTGGGAAGCCATTCCTGTCACTCCTTGTCCAAAGATGTGCTTAAATAGTTTGGAGAACTCATTTTATCCCAGAACAATCCTAGCCTTTTGCTGAAATTTTCCACATGGCGAGATAACTAGTAATTAATGTGAATGTATTAATTAATGGAACAAACCAGAGAGGAAGCACTCCAGCCAGATCTATTACTGGGAATTGGTATGCAAAAATAACACTTTCTGTAGATGTATTTTTAAATTAGTTTTTTTTTTTTTCATATGGTGAAGTCATCCACTGTGTAGGTGTTTAATCTGACAACTGAAACAGAAACACAGCAGGACTAAGTCCCTTGTGCACTCCCTCTTTTCCAGTTCTTCGGAATGCTGAGCGTCTGTGTGCTTACTTGCAAGAAAGAAGAAAGTGGATATCAGCCTCTTTACTCAGGGGTGTTTGCTTAATAAACTGAAAAGAACATTCTTGCTTCCTGATGATGAAACTGACTTGTGACCATACCACAGCTTTCCGAAACGTTTATGCTAAGTTTGGACCTGTGACTACGGGTGGTGTAGTAGGCTCCGGAAAGAAACTTTCTTCTGCCCTTCTTTCCTCTGCCCCAAAAACATGCAGCAGAAACTTTATCTTTTAATCAATAAACTGGTGGAGACCACAGGAGGGCTTTCAGTTGCCTGCACAAACCTCAGATCATTCCCATGGTGTGGTTTAAACAACAAAAGGTTGTTTATATACTCTTCATAGGCATGGGGATCTGCAGTATGTTTTTTTTCTGTATCTGATTGTGCAGTTTTTATGTCACGATATAATTCTGTTTACTACAGAAGTTGTTAGTGCAAGACAACCCCATGCTTCAAATCTAGAACAAGCATTTGTGTGGTTGTTTGGAGCAGCTAGCAAACATGAAAATCCCCAGGTTTTGGGCTCAGAACTCTCTCTTTGGTTTGTTTTTATCTCTTAATTATTGACATTAAAAATTCCTTATGAAGCAAGGGCTTTCAAACATTCTTCCTCCTTTTTCTGTGGTTTGCCTGGGGGAATTAGTGCCACATTTCCACCCTGACCACACTTCTCTGCTAAAATATTAAGATATATTCTTGTACAAAGCAATTTCAGTAACCTGCTGTAGTGCTGCTTTTGCACATTTTCTGTTCTCCTTAATTCTGCTGGACACAGATTGGATTGCATTCCTGCTTTAACACAGTGCTTCAACTCGTTTGTATGCTATAAGCTCTTCAGGATTTTGGGGATAGAGAAGAGAGAGAACTGTGAGCTTTTATGTGTCAGGGAATTGTGGAAAAGCAACAGAGATTCTGCTGATTCCTTCCTTGGAGATATAAGCAGCCTGTCCTTAACAAAATAAACCTTTCTATTTGTAGCTAATAAGAGAAAAAAAAATTAGCTTGGGATCATTGTAAACCGTTTAATTATCTCCGTCCCTTCCCCATGAGAGAAAAGGTGATGGGTGATGATGTCCTATGGGGGACACACCAGCGTGAGCATGTGTATGTTGAAAAATGAGTTTTTACTGAGGGCTTTGTCTTCTGTTAAATGCTGAAATAAACTGAATTTATACAACCAAGTAATACATAGTGCGGCGGCAGTTGTCCGATGCTGTAGTAATACCCTGGAGGGAGCGAAGTCCTCAGGGGCGGAACCGGAGCGGGGCGCTCAGAGAGATCCCGCCCGGCTCCCCTCAGCCCTCAGCGGTCCTGCCTTCCCTTCCCGCTGCCTTTCAGCGATCCTGCCTTCCCTTCCCGCTGCCTTTCAGCGATCCCGGCTCTCTTCTCACCCGGCTCCCCTCAGCCATTCCGCCTTCCGCCCTCAGCGATCCTGCCTTCCCTTCCCGCTGCCTTTCAGCGATCCCGCCTTCCCTTCCCGCTGCCTTTCAGTGATCCCGGCTCTCTTCTCACCCAGCTCCGCTCTGCAATTCCGCCTTCAGCCCTCAGCGATCCCGCCTTCCCTTCCCGCTGCCTTTCAGCGGTCCTGCCTTCCCTTCCCGCTGCCTTTCAGCGATCCTGCCTTCCCTTCCCGCTGCCTTTCAGCGATCCTGCCTTCCCTTCCCGCTGCCTTTCAGCGATCCCGCCTTCCCTTCCCGCTGCCTTTCAGCGATCCCGGCTCTCTTCTCACCCAGCTCCCCTCAGCCATTCCGCCTTCAACCCTCAGCGATCCTGCCTTCCCTTCCCGCTGCCTTTCAGCGATCCCGGCTCTCTTCTCACCCAGCTCCACTTTGCAATTTTGCCTTTCGCTCCCGCTCCCCTCAGCGATCCCGCCTCCCTTCGCGCCCGGCTCTCTTCAGGGATCCCTTCCCGCCCGGTTTCCCAACCGTTCCCCTCAGCAGTCCCGCCTTCCGCCCTTCCTTCCCATTCCCTTCAGCAACCCTGCCTTCCTTCTTGTTCCCCTCAGGGATCCCGCCTCCCTTCGCGCCCGGCTCTCCCCAGCGACCCGGCCTCCCTCAGGGATCCCTTCCCGCCCGATTCCCTAACCGTTCCAATCAGCAATCCCGCCTTCCGCCCCTTCTTCCCGTTCCTTTCAGCAACCCTGCCTTCCTTCCCGTTTTCCCTAGCAATCCTCCCTTCCTTCCCGCTCCCCTCAGCGATCCCGCCTCCCTTCGCGCTCGGATCTCCTCAGCTACGCGGCCTCCCTTACCGCCTCCCTCAGGGAACCCGCTTTCCCTTCCCACCCGGTTCCCTAACCGTTCCCCTCAGCAATCCCGCCCTGTCTTCCCATTCTCCTCAGCCATACCGCCTTCCTTTCCGTTTCCCTCAGCAATTCCGCCTTCAGCCATCCCACCTTCCGCCCTTTCTTCCCGCTCCCCTCAGTGATCTCGCCTTCCCTTCCTCGCTCCTGCCCGCCTTCCCTTCCCTTCCCTTCCCTTCCCTTCCCTTCCCTTCCCTTCCCTTCCCTTCCCTTCCCTTCCCTTCCCTTCCCTTCCCTTCCCTTCCCTTCCCTTCCCTTCCCTTCCCTTCCCTTCCCTTCCCTTCCCTTCCCTTCCCTTCCCTTCCCTTCCCTTCCCTTCCCTTCCCTTCCCTTCCCTTCCCTTCCCTTCCCTTCCCTTCCCTTCCCTTCCCTTCCCTTCCCTTCCCTTCCCTTCCCTTCCCTTCCCTTCCCTTCCCTGTCAGCGCTCCCGCCGTTTATGACTTTTCAAAATGACTTTTATTACTTTTTTCTCGCATTTTGTAAACGTGACTTATGTGAAATTACTTGTACAAGAGGAGTTTGCCTAGTGAAGGAAAGAACCTGTTTCAAGCCGCGCGTTAAGATTACATCACCCAAATAAATGTGTATTAGGTGGGCGGAGAATACGCAGTAAGTGGGTGTGCTTGTGTGAATTTTACTGTATAACAGATGTAACTTTTAACCCTTTGGCAAGCTGATTAGTGGGAACATCCTCGCACGCTGCGCTGAATAAACAGTGTATTCTTCCTAAACTGAACTCTATGTTCACAGAGCTCCTAGAATCGACAACACCCTCCACGCTCCTGCTCCGCTCAGGGCTGCAGCCTCACGCCCTTCCTCTTAGTCCCTCCAGACTCACAGAATTACAGTCAAAGGTTGGAAAAGACCTCCGAGATCGTGCCCAGCCTGTGACTGACCCCTTCTGTCATCCAGACCACAGCACTGAGTGCCACGTCCAGGCGCTCCTTGGACACCTGTAGGGATGAGGACGCCAAACCTCCCTGGGCCGCCCCAATGCCAGAACGCCCTTTCCATTAAGAAATTCCTGATGTCCAACCTGATCCTCCTATGGCGCAGCTTAAACCACATTTCCTTATCCTGAGAGAACAGACCGACCCCCGGCTGCCCCACAACCTCCTTCAGCGCCCCGCACTCGCTCCCCTCAGCGCTGCCGCCTCCCCGCCCCGGTTCCCCGGCGCTGCCCCAATGCCAGAACGCCCTTTCCAAGCGCTCCCCTCAGCGCTGCCCCAATGCCGGAACGCCCTTTCCAAGCGCTCCTCTCAGCGCTGCCGCCTCCCCGCCCCGGTTCCCCTCAGCGCTGCCCCCGCTCTGCCCTTTCCGCCCGCTCCGAGCGCTCCCCTCAGTCCGCACGCGCCCTCCCCGCCCTCCCCAACGCCCGCCCGAGCGCGGCGGATTCAAACCGGGGCTCGGACCGGGCGGCGGCAGCCGGGGCCTCGCGTCCTCCTCTCTCTGCCGAGCGGCCTCCTTTTCCTGCCGAGCGTCCTCCTCTCTCTGCGAGCGGCCTCCTTTTCCTGCCGAGTGGCCTCTTCCCCCGGCCGAGCGGCCTCTTCCCCCGGCCGAGCCGCCTCTTCCCCCGGCCGAGCGGCTGAGAGGCTGGGACGAAGGCCGGGAGGCACTGGCGCCGGTAAAACCTGAGGAGAAGCGGGCGCTGCCGTGACCTCGATCCCCTCAGGGAATCCCGATCCGCCTCGGAGTGTCCGCGCAGCTACGGAGGTGGGGAGCTCTCTAAGAACGGATTTAATAAGCGCGGTAGTTGATAGTATTTTAAGCCAAAAGCGAAATAAAGGTATTTTTAAAGTTTCCAAGTGTGAGCCGGTGGAGGGAGCTGTGTGAACGCTCAGTGCTGGGCCCCAGTGTCAAATGCGGGGGATTGTCACACTGTATAACTTTTTCTTTTAATCAATTCCTGTCTATAATAGGGTTAATAAGTCTAGTATTATAGACAATATAGCAATCGATATATAATGCTCTTTTTAATGCCTCCAGACTTCACTAATAACTGCTAGCACTTTTTTTTTCTTAGTTACATTTTTAAAGAAATGCACCTCTTTAAACATCAATCATCTGATGTAGTCTCCCTGAGAGAGTCTTCTATGCCTTATATAAGTCAGGTGTTTCTTGGTTTTTGCAGTAAATTCCAACTCCTTTTTCACTGCACTCTTCAATATAATAAGGATGCTCCTGGTCCCATGAGGAATCGCTGCACTGATACCATACTGCATTTATCTCCAAAGTTCTAGGAAACTTACTGCCTTGTCTAGTGCCACTTTATGCTTCCTTTCCTGCCTTCAATCTAGTAAGATAAAAGATAATTGCTCCATTTACTGTTTCATTTACATTTCCTTTGCTTCTTTGACAGTTCAGGGTCCTTCTACAAATTCTGCTTTTGTATGCAATGTTTGCAACTTGGATGTTTGTTAAATCCCTGCCTTCATTTTTGTTCCCTCGCAGTGTGATGGTGAACGCTATGGCATCCTCAAGCCTGGAAGATTTATGCCTCTACATCAGTTTGAAGATTTCAAATATTAAAAAGTTTATCCTATTGAGAGATCTAGGTAAACAAGAGCAACAGTAGGGTTTGGTTTGCACTTCACTGCGAGAAAGACACTGAGGGGCTGCAGCGTGTCCAGGGCAGGGAACGGAGCTGGGGAAGGGGCTGGAGCCCCAGGAGGGGCTGAGGGAGCTGGGAAGGGGCTGAGCCTGGAGAAAAGGAGGCTCAGGGGGGACCTTGTGGCTCTGCACAGCTCCTGACAGGAGGGGACAGCCGGGGAGGACAGCTCTGCTCCAGGGAACAGGGACAGGAGGAGAGGGAACGGCCTCAGGCTGGGCCAGGGCAGGCTCAGGGTAGGCAGCAGCAGAAATTTCCCCATGGAAAGGTGCTCAGGAACTGGAACTGCCCAGGGAGGTGGTGGGATCCCGATCCCTGAAGGGGGATGTAAAAGCCATGTACTTGGGACGCAGGTTAGTGGTGGCCTTGGCAGTGCTCTGGGGTAATAGCTGGACCTGGGCTTTTCCAAACTAAGTGATTCCATGAACTCTGTTGGCAGTGCAGAGTACAAGGCTGACAGTTTGGCTTGCTGCTTCTCCTGGATGGATGTGGTGGCTGAGGAGCAGGGATTTAGATAACCACTTCTTGTGGTGGGGAGGAATATTGGATTTTGGTTTTTTCTTAGAGACTTTGTAGCTTAATGTTCTCTCTTTTACAGGTAAAGATGATTGCCTCAAGCATTTTCTCCGTAAAGTATATAACGAGGGGATCCTCATACATGAGCTCCTGCAAGCAATGGAAATTCAAGTTAAAAAGCAAGAAGAACTGAAAAAATCACTCAGAGTAATCTTTTTTTTCCTGTTCATAAAATGCTGAAAGATTCAAAGAAATCTTTGATACATTTGTCACTTTTCCCCTAGATTCTTAGTGATGTTTGCATGCATGTACTTACAAGAGAAACTGGGGCTTGGAACAGGCTTGCTGATGGTTTGTTAAGCAGTTCTCCAGACAATGAACATTAAAAATTGTATTTTTCAAGGCTTGTACATAGAATCATAGAATTGTAGAATGGTTTGAATTGGAAGGGACCATAAAGCTCAGCCAGTTCCAACCCCCTGCCATGGGCAGGTTCACCTCCCACCATCCCAGGTTGCTCCAAGCCCCGTCCAGCCTGGCCTTGGACACTCCCAGGGATCCAGGGACAGCCACAGCTGCTCTGGACACCCTGTGCCAGCCCTGCCACCCTCACAGGGAAGAATTTATTCTTAATAGCTAATCTGAGTCTACCTTCCTTCATCCAAAGTCCATTAAAATAATGTCTTTGTCACTGGCCTTGAAAACACGTCTTTATCATAATAGATATGGGGATCTAAAGAGCAGTTCCACTTAGACATCTTTGCAATAGCTGCACAAGTTATTCAGTTAGAATATTTGTCTGTTTTTCTATTGTGTGTTTACAGTGCCTTTGTTAAGTCTTTTGTAGAAATGTTGTTTGGGGAATGGAGGTGAGTTTAGCATAGTATCTCATCTTCACCACCACCATTCCCCTGACCAGACCTTGCTGAGGGTGTGTTGCTAAAGTTCTTTCTGCCTGCTCAAATTTCTCTGACATTCTGAGGGCAAGGACAGATGCTCCTTCCTTTGTATCTTTATTAGCTTCCCTGGGGAAATTATGGGGTATGGAGGTAAGATTATGTTGTCAGAATAAAAGACACCTCTTAAAAAGCTGAAAATTAATTTAGTATTGCCCTAATTTTACTTGCCTGATCTTAGTAGGATGAGATTTCTGACACAGTCTGATATTAATTTCAGGAGATCCAGAAGGCAGCTGAGAGCGCTCAAAGGGAAGCATGGCACCTCCTTCAACACGTGCCACGCTATCTGCCTAAACCACTCCAGGTCTGGTAGGTGCTACATGAGCCCAGAGGCTTCAGGCTGCTCCTGGCACTGTCCAGCTTCAGCACTGTACAGCTGTGTTCCTTTCACTCCACATTAACTGGGAAATTTTGGGAGCCAAAGTTGTTGTATGCATTGATTGTGGAGTTGGCTCTTGTCCAGGTTTGTGCTAGCACCCCTACAAATTTGTCAGGTCAAGACTATAAAATCCCAAGTTGATCCAGTGGGAGCTTCCAGGGGTAGGTGTGATGTAGTAGAAAGCAAGTGCTTCTCTGAGTCTGAGCATCCCTTCCTTTAGAGTCACAAACACACCAATTTTGTGACTGCAGTGCCTACAGAGTAAAGGGTTATGACCCAAATGCTGGGTCACTAGAACTGAAGTTCACCACTGCGCTTCCAAATATAATTAAAAACCAAAAATCCTCTAACTCAGTCATCTTTCTGTGGGACTTTGAATTGTGTTTGTGGTAGTTTTGTTCTCTTTTCCCTACAGAAATCCTGCATTTATTTCAGCTAGCTATGACATCCCCTTGCCTTGGCGGGGGCTCTGGTAAGAAGCTTTTCAGAGTCAAGTAGCTGAAGTGTGAGAAAATGACAGCCATGAATTAACAGCTGTTACTCAGAAGGCCTCTAAGACATTTCAACTCTGAGTTCCTCATCTCTTTCTCCATCCTTTGGAGCTGCTTTTTTTTTGTGGAGCGTTGTTAGTGTGTGTCAGGTGGGGTCACTTGCAGAGTCTTATTGCCTGGGGATCCCAGAGTTTCTTTCCCACCTTGCAGCTTGTCAGAAGGCAATGCATTAGTTTGAGCTCAGTGCTTCCATACGTGCCCTGAATCAACCAGGTTTACTTGGTCTGGCTCCTAATGCCAGAGAAGCCTCAGTCTCAAAACATGACAGGTGTATTCCAGCAAAGTAAAAGGTTCAATGTGTGGAAAGAGGATTCTAGAAGAGAAAAAGGAACAGTAATTTTTATTGGTGTGTAGCAATATGGTCACTGGTGTAGGTATTGTATTGAAACTGTTCTTAGCTGGTGATGGGATGACCTGTGCAGAAGCCTTTTTTCTTATTCCATCCCACCCATTAGACATGAACCCCTCAGTTTAGGAAACAGCCTCTTAAAATGTCTCTAGGGGTGACATCTTCCTTTTCAATTTAGATGTTGCTTTTCTTGTGTGTGTGTGTGTGTAAGAATTGAAGTTTTCCAGAAATTACCACTTGGGTTCTGCCTTCCTGTCATACCTGACTTTCTTATTGTAGGAAATACTTTGTCTTAACTTTGTGTTGTTTTCTGGAAATTGTTTAGATGTAAATGATGTTTGTTCAGTGATTGTGCCACCTCTGACACAAAAAGATTTTTTGGGATGTTTGTTTCCCTTACAATCTTGTCCTGCTTGTGATTAGGAAGTTAATTGTGATATGACTTTAGCCAGTTCTTCCCTTTCTGGAGAGAACCACAATATGTAAAACCAACTAAGTTTTTCTGATAGTTTTCTACACGTTGTGCTCAGCCAGCTCACAGCTGCTGTTCGGGCAGTGTCGGTTTGTTGGTGTTTTTTTCTTGAGCAATAATACACTGTACGATGATGCCATTTGTCAAAACACACTTTCTCCTTTTCTCCCCGTGTTGTGACTTCTTGGTGTTCATTGTGTTGTGCAGTGCAGGGTCAAGGAAGTGTGAGAAGGGACAAAATTGTTTAAAACCCACTGTATCACTGTAAATATGTTTTCAGGCCTCCTCCCCAAATCTTCCTCTCCTGGCCTCCTCCTTTTCTGTTCCCAGACATGTGGGGCTGTGAATATTAATGTTTAGTGATTTTTGTGAGATAATGCAGAAAGCAGAGGAGCACTTGAATGCTGTTGAGACAAGCCTTGAAGTCCCTGGGAAAATGAAAACACCCACACAGAGAAACTCAGCAATTCATGGCTTTAGCTATTGTTTCTTGCCTGTATCCTTGGGTTTTCTGTTCTTGTTTACCAGAGGAATCTCACTGAAATAAAAAGCAAGTTCAATATCTCTCAAGCTCTTTGTATCCCCAGTGTTTGTTGAGATTCAGTTTCTCATTCCACCAGAGCCAGATTTTGTAAACAAGCATAAGCTTTTCCTTTTCATGGTTCAGGTCAGTGGTGTGTCTACACCACCTCACTGCAGCAGTGCAGGGACAAGGGAGTGGGTGGGAGCTCAGAGGAAGGATGGTTGGATGTGGGGAATCATCTAGAAAAGGTTTGTTGCAGTGTGACAGACAGCAGAAAACTGAGCAGGAGACTGGAGTGTGGGAGGAATGAAGTTTCAAGGTGTGAACTTGATTCCCTTGGTTCTTGTGTTTATCCTTTCATTCCAAACCCACCTCCACCACCACCCAAAATGCAACCCCCCTCCCCTTTCCCTCCTGTTTGCTGACATTCCCTGCTGGCTGCAGGGTGCCAGGATTCGTTTTGTTGTTGGTGGTCAGATGCCAACAGATGTTCTTCAGAGGATGACGTCTGAGTAGGTCTGGCTGCAGATGTCCTGGGTTTCAGAAGGGCTCTGTGCTGTGTCACGGCAGGGCAGAGCTGCTCCTGTCCCTGTGTCACCGAGCAGGCAGTGTGGGAGCCCTTGTCCAGGTCAGCTCTGTGCTGCCTTAGCTAATTCTGCTGCGTATCCCAGGAATGTCCATGTGTTCTGGTGACACTGGATTTGGCCATATGCATCACCTTTGCTGTGCTGCTGAGGAGCAGCTGGGTGGGTGGCTGGCAAATCCCTTGGGGTTTGAGGCTCTAAGCCAAGGGTTTAGAGGAAGGGTGAATTTATAAAAATAATGTTCTAATAATCAGGAAATTCTTTGACCTTTTGCATCTTGCCTAATAAATTTTTAAAAGTGTCTGCAAGGTGGTTGAATTTCTTTGCTTCAAAAGTCCAATGGATGAGTCAGGCTTCCCAAGATTTGAACCTGTTTCAAAGAGCTATGAAGTATTTCAAACCTGCCCGTTAAGGCTGCAGCTCTGTGCTGTGTTTCATCTGATAAAAAGGCAGGCCTTGCGCTGTGTGAAATGTGATGGTACATTGAATTCTGAGCTGTGCCAGCTGCACTTGGACTGTTTCCAGCTCACCTGCTAGCAGCCTCTGTAGCTGAGAAACCAAGAGATGTGCTGAAGTCAGCTGAAGGATACGATTTGAAGCAGAGTAGGCTTGCTTTAGTGATGTTTCTTTTGTGAAATATCATTATTGTGTTCATCCAGCCTAACAGATAGGCTGGAGCTTAGGTCTGTGACTAAGCAGTGTAGTGGCATTCTTCCTACTTACCTGCTGTTTATGCACTGAATATTCCTTCATTTTACAGCAACGTGGAGTCAACTGTGAAACATGAAGAAGAAACAAAGGCTGTAGAACCCAAATGTGAGAAGAAACCTGCAAAAGAAAGAGCCATTAAAGAAGTAGCATTAATAACCACAGAGGAGTTTGAAAATGTTCCTGCGTAAGTAAGCGTGGCTTCCCTTGTACCCTGGCAAACCAATTTGGGTAGCACACAAAAACAAAAAGTGCCTCTTGCAGAACTGGGACTGACAGATGAAATATTTCATGGGGTGTAAAATGACAATAGCTCCAAATCGTTTAAATGCATTGCTAGCAAACCTGAAAATCGAATGAATGGAGTTAATTGGGCTCTTCTTTCTGCTGCTGTTGGGAAGATGAAATCTCATCAGTTAAAACCCAAACCTCTTACCTCAAAAGTTGCTGTAATTGTAAGAACAGAGATTTACTAGCTAATAGGTGAATCCTCATCTTGTTTTGAGAACTGACATTAAAAAATGTGCCATCATCTCATAACATGGAGGGTTTGTTTACATATAGAAAGAAAAACAGTGATAAATGCTGGTTTTATTTGACCCAAATATTGGTTTCTGGAAACTTCAAGCCTTGACTTACCCAACTGTTTTGAGACAGGAAAAGCAATCAGACTTGTTAAAAGAAAAAAAAAAAAAAAAAAAAATTAAAAAAAAAATATATACTTTGCACTGAAACCCCCAAATTTCTGGAAGAGAAAGCTGTGGGTATTTCCCCTTAACATCAGGACCTGATCAATGAATATCCTTGTCTGAAGTCTGATATATAGGAGTAACTTCTTAAAATGGCATTTGGGTGGCATGAGTAAATGTTTCTGCAAAAAGAAGAAATTTCTCTTGATGCCTGAGGCTAAATTGTTATTAAGACTCTAGATTTACTATGTTCCCTGACAATACCTGTTTCAGTAAGAAATATGGTTGTGAGTCTGTACTTTACTTAAGGCTTTCCAATAATTTTTTCTATAGCCTTCAGAATTTTCAGGTGAGTAATGCCCATTTTCTTCCTTATCCTGAATGTTGAGCTAATGATAAAGGACTTCTGGTTACTTCCTAGAAGAGCATGCACCTGATATTTTTATTCTGCAGAACACCTCAGGTATTTTGTGGATTTATTCCTTTAGGTAGTTCTCTCCTGATAAAATTATGGGAGGATAAATCTGGAGCCTGGGAATTTTTGGTCTTTGTCTCTGCTGTGGCAAGAGAAATAGGCACAGACCATTCCAGCCAAATGTTGTTTTAACTCCCAGTTAAGGCTGTGGCCTTCCACATCAGAAGACAGATGGAAGGACACTTGGGGACATGGTTTAGTGGTGGCCTTGGCCGTGCTGGGGGAAAGGTTGAACTTGGTGATCTCAGAGGGCTTTTCCAACCTGGAGGAGTTCATGTTTTCCACTGCTGTTCATGGGTGTGGAGGATGGGGACAGAGGCCAGATGGATCCTCTTCCCATCCATTGCAGAGTCACAAAAGCACAGAAAAGGCAGGGTTGGAAGGCACTCCTTGTGGAAATGTTGCAGCTGTGTTGGAAGGTCCCCATTATGGAATGGTTGCAGCTTAGACTGTGCTGGTAGAGCTCTAGAAATAATTTAATTTTATTCAGATGGGAGAAGCATGTTTGTTCTGTGGAGGAAAATTTACATGAATTTACATAGATCTATTAATCTACCAGTATTTCTGTTGCCTGGCAATCTTGTAGTACAAGATTGGGGGAGTACTTGCAATTTCACATACTGATTGACCAAATCTAAGCAGCAAACACTTGTAATACAAATTCTCTTGCACTGATTGTATTCTCTTGGAAGAATGAGAATTTGGGTCAGGGCCCATTTCTTCAGGTGAGCACTGGAGGTGGGGGGTGGTCACTGAAAAATTGAGGCTGTTTTCACTTGCTTTATGCTGAACATGAAGGAAAATCTATTCCTAACACCATCAGACACACTGGCTTCAGTGACTTCATAGTCCAGGACAGGGCAGCTGGCATTTAGCAAAGGTACACGCTGTTTTAAGGGGCAGATGTGGAACACTCTGATCAAACAGAACACTTTGCACAAAAAAACCCACAAATTATCTTACCCTTCAAATCTGTTGCAGGAAGGTGCTTTTTGGCAGAAGATAAAGGACATTTCACAGTACCTGTCTTTGTTAACTTTTGACTTTGAGGCAAAGGAAAATGTTTGCTTTATTCTGTGTCTAGAGTTCTTACTGCTTTCTAAAAATCTTACCGCTGAAAGCATTTTAGATTCAGTGCATTCATTATAACTCTCAAGTCTCAAAAGATGGTAGCTTGGGAGAATACATGGCTATTTTAGCTCAACCATTTTTGAGAGAGCAGAGGGTGGCCATTGCAACCTTTTTCTCTTTTAGAGTGGTATATATGTGATATATTGATGTTATTCTTTTCTCTGAGGATCACAGCACCATGGTCTGGTTTTCATACCTATAGAAAAAATGAAAAAGGGCTTCTGTGGATTAAAAAAAGAAACGGACTGGATCTTTTTTAGAAGAGTTTTGAATTTTATTGCATTTGGAATAGTGAAGCAGATTTTTAAGTTATTTTAAATCTAAATTAAATGCCTGAATTTGGAGCTTCTCAACTTTGTATTTTGATATTAGTGCATGTATGGACTGAAAATAATGTCAGCATTAACGGGTTTGCCAGCCATGGTTGGGTAGAAACATGAGAGGGCTGTAGGACAGCTGGAGTTTTTATGATCCTTAGTTATGCACAGAATAAAAATTCCATTCAGTTTTGAAAGGGTTTAATTTCAGATTAAAGCATCTTGGATGCCTGAGGGCCTCTCAAAGAACATTTGTTTTCAGGTTTAGGCAGCCCAGTCCCGCCTCTCTTTTTCAGCTTCAGGATGAGCTGAGGTGCTCCCTTGGCTTGATTAAGTGTGTTCAGTGTCTGTGTGCTGGCAGTGGGAGCACAGGAACTTAAATAAAGGTATTTTATACCTCTGGGCTGAGTCTCCCTCGCTCTGCACGCTCCCCTGCGGCGCAGGGAGGCAGAGAGAGCAATAAAGAGCAGTTCATGCGCGCAGGCAAAGCCCTGCTGTGGTTACAGGCTGTGCTCGTGCTGTGGCTGCATTTCAGGGGTGGCAGTGCTGCTTTTATTGCTCTGCAAAGTGGAGCGTTTTTACAGCCATGAGATGGCTGCACCTCCAGCGCTGAATTAATCGAGGTATCAATAAAGTTTAAAGCTGGTCACAAGTAACTGAGTGACTACTAAGTTTCAAACTCATTTTGCAGACAGAGCAATTGCTTTGAATTCAGTTTTACACACCTTGCTGGCCTGTCTGCCTGGCAGGGACAGGCTGCTGAAATCTGCAGCAGGTATTTTGAGCTGGCAATTTCAGAATGCCTGTCTGAATTCTGGTTTGGAATGCTGAACTTGTAATTGATTATCTGCTTCTGCTTTGAATTCTTTGTGTGTTCTCCAAAGATTGAGCCTGTCTGTTCAGGTTAAAACGAGAGAGGAACTTGCTGTTCATTGATCTTTTCACTCTTGCTGTCCCACAGCTTTTAGCCACCTGCTCTGCTGACCTGCAGCATTCATTCTTGAAATGAATTGTAACACTTGTGCAATTCCTCACATCTGCAAACCAATAATGAGCAAAACACAGCCAGCTTTGGTTCGTTGTAGCAGCTGAGTGAAGGCCACAGGACAATGCAGGTTGCAAGGCTGGCCTGGCCTTTACTGCCATTTTTGGGTGACAGGGGAGGGAGATTGTGTTGTATTTATCTTACTGTTTGTCATTTGAGTTTCAGATTTCATTTTTATATAATGGTTTCTCAGTGTGCAGCACAGTTCCTTTTCCTTGAAGGCATGGCTTTACATCTATAAATACTGAATAGCCTTCCTTGCAAATCTTCCAGTGTTCTAGTATTTCCACATCACTTTGTTCTTTATCTTATGTGCTTCCTGTACCTCTAGGCTGTTATCAACAGACCTTATTCTTCTAGTACTAGTATTATGAAATTCTCTGAGAGTTCAGAAATGGATGCTGGTGGTGCAGAACTGTATCTGCACAGCTGAGCAGGCTGCACAGTCAAATACAAAAGGCAACACACAACCAGTAGCTCTTCAAAAAACCTCAGATAATCACAGAATCACGAGGTTGGAAGGGGCCTTCAAGATCATTGAGTCCAACCCATGCCCTAAGACTTCAACTGAGCCATGGCACTGAGTGCCACATCAAACAAAACAAAAAACAGCCAAACAAACAGTAACAAACCAACAAACAAACAAAAAGAAAAGGGCCCATGGTGGGCCCACTGTGCTCCAGCTCTGCTCCACACCCATTGCTGGATTGTTTGGTGCCCTGGCTAAACAATAAATGGCTGTAACATCAAACACAGGTTATTTGTGGGGATAATATGAGCCAAGTTGTGCTCCTAGACAAACATTTCATTTCATGCTGTTTTCTGCAAAGTTGCTTTATTTTTCTGTGTTTAAGTGGTACACTACAAAAGCAACCTTTATTCTACTTTGATAAGCTTTTTACAGCTTAAGCACTGAATACATTGTGCTTCTTAATTTAGCTTTCTAATATTTTATCTTTCTGGTTTAGATTATGTCATGGTGTTTTTACCTTCAAGAGTGTTAAGCAATCAAGGAAATGAGCAGAATTAACTACTACATGTTTTTAATGATACAAAACAGGAGAAACTGCCTCTAACTAGGAATGGCTTCTTCAGTTAAGGCAGATGAAAGAGAAGAATAAACACAGAACTTTCTGGTGACTGATTCTTATTTTTATTTGTAGGTATATGAAAGGCCGTATAACATATGATCAGATCAATGCAGTTGTTGAAGAGATTAACAAGGCCGTGGTGGGCAAGTACAAGATCTTGTATCAGCCTTTGAGGTCTATGAGTGCACCAGTCAGAAACCTCTACCACCGGTTCATAGAAGAAGAAACTAAGGATACAAATGGTATTTTTTTTCCTTTGTTAGAACCAAACTCGTAACACTTGGATGTTGCAGCAAAAGTATAAAAATACTGGTCTTTTTTTCAGTTTTTTTGACTGAAGAGTTTCCCATTCATAGTGAATGTTTTCCTTGAAAAATATGTCTCTTTGATGGTGTGTCATGGCAGAAACTTTGCACAAAGATTTAGTTTGGAATCACTACAAGTTCTGGAAATTCTTAGCTTGATAACCAAACCATAGAAATGTGTTCTCAGGTGTTAAACTTGATTGGACATGAACAATTAAAAATTTATTCTGAAGTTGGGAAATCTGGCTAATTAACTGTGCTGCAGTGGCTTTGTGGAAGAGGTAAGTCTGTCTGATAATTTTAAGAAGTTTTCTCCTCTTAAAAGCACAGAGGGAGTGAAAACCAAAACACCTTTCTTTCAATTGAAAAGCAAGTTGCACTTACGGGCTAATTTTTCCAAAAAGATGTGTGACTGTAAATCTCTGATATTAAAATCTCCTTTTTGGCATGCTTTTCCTCTTGAGAACAAATATGTAACTATTCCTGGAGGGGCGTACTGCCCATGCCAAGCTTGGTGATCTCCTTAGAATGCTCTCATGTTTGCAAGCCATGGCATAAAGAGTGGAGCAAAGTCTCTTCTGTTTCACATAAAAAGAGCTGTCTCTGACAGCATGGCACCCACCTTCATTTTAGACCTGGACAGAATGCTGGAACTTCTGCCCTGAGCATTCCCTGGGTACTCAGGAGTGCCCTGAAGATAAACTGCAACTTTTCTTCCTTCCTTTGCTTTGCTGCTCTTCAAGACTCTGGATATTACAGTGTGATAATGACATCAGTGACCAGTGACTTCTGGGTTCTAAATGCAGCTTTTCTGCAGGAGGGAATTCTGATCTGATGGACATGCTGGCGCTTTATTTTGAGACCTGTAAGATAAACAGAGAATCACAGGAGGGTTTGGGTGGGAAGTGGCCTTCAATATTATCCACTTCCACCCCATGCCATGTGCAGGGACACCTTCCACTATCCCAGGGTGTTCCAAACCCTGTCCAGCCTGGCCTGGGACACTTCCAGGGATCCAGGGACAGCCACAGCTGCTCTGGGCACCCTGTGCCAGGGGCTGCCCACCCTCCCAGCCAGCAATTCCTAATTCCCAATATCCCATCTGTCCCTGCCCTCTGGCAGTGGGAGCCATTCCCTGTGTGCTGTCCCTGCCTGCCTTGTCCCCAGTCCCTCTGCAGCTCTCCTGGAGCCCCTTGAGGCCCTGGCAGGGGCTCTGAGCTCTCCCTGGAGCTTCTCTTGTGCAGGGGAACAGCCCCAGCTCTGCCAGGCTGGCTGCAGAGCAGAGGGGCTCCAGCCCTGGCAGCAGCTCCGTGGCCTCCTCTGGGCTGGCTCCAGCAGCTCCACGTCCTTCTCATGGTTTAGTCACAGGGCTGAACACAGGATGAGACCTGTGAGGTCTCAAATGACCTCCAGATGAGGTCTCAGTTGCCATTCAAAGGTCATTGTTGTAAAGGGCTTTATTAAAAGTATTCTAAGCACATGCAGCTGCATAAATTTGTGTGACTGACTTCTGGTTTGGGCTGTGGTGGTTTGGTTTCTCTCTAAGCATGTTGTGCCTCAGTTGAACAGCAGCTTGGAGTGCTGCTCAGTCTGCACTATGATCCACAGTATTCTTGGCTGCAGTGAAGAAACCATCCTAGCAACATGAGAAAACTTCATCTGGTCAGAGAATTTTCTGTCAGCTGGGGACCCTCGTCTGAAAAACTGAAGTGCTTAATTTCTTTAAGTACCTGAGAGATGGCCTTTATTTCTTTATTGGGAAGTTCAGTTAGGAAACTAGGACATTCAGCATCTATTAGAGCATTTGTGTTTATGTGGTAGATGGTTTTGTTTAGGTTTTTTTGTGATTAATCATTTAGAAAGCGTAGAGAAAAATCCTATCAGGCTGTCAGATGGTTCTTATCTGGCCAGCACAAAGTGATTAAATGTCTTTATCCATTGCATTTTTCAGGATGATGTTCCACATTCATTGATTTGTTTGTTTAGATCTCTCCTGTGAGTGTCTCTCTGCTTAGGATTCCCACTGGTTCTCAGCCTGGGCTGATTGCCAGCTGACCTCTTCTCTGATTTCAAGATGGGAGAAGTTGCTGCCTGGTTTATCAGGGTCACTTCCAGCCACTCAGGTGGTTCAGTGAGTTTAGCTGGTTGTTTAGCACATGGACCAAACCACTGCCCTTCACCCAGATCTGATTCTTCACAAGAAAGATCCTGCTCTGCTGAATGTTGCCACTCTGGATTTTTGAGCAAATATAAGAAGGAATCTTGTTTTATCAGAATTCAGGAGGTTCTGATGCTCCCCCAGATGTAACAGACTGTGAAGGCAGCAGGCAGGTTCTGCCTGGCTTCCCAACACTGTCTGTGTGTGTTAGTGTCCTTGGAAGTTGTAGATGGTCTCTATTTGAGATCATTTTCTATTTTGGGCACTAATGCCGTTCTTCTTTCTTTTCCTAGTAAACAAACTTCCTACTTCTCATCTGTATGTGAATTTGCTGGCATTACAAGCTCTGAAATTCCAACTGAGTTCCTCTCTGGGGAAATAGCTCTGATTTTGACAGAGATTGTCTCTGGAAGATTCTACTCCCTGTGAGACATGTGTGACACCAACTTTCACGAGAGGCCCAGGCTGTGAGAAAACACGATCTGTTATTTCTCAGCTCTGTCTAAGCAAGATTTTGAGGGACACTGCACTTACAGACATAATCCTTGTACCTTAGTTCTATTCTGGCAGCTTCGGCTTTCCAGCTTGGATCAGCTATTCCCAGTGAAACTGGAAGGATTTAATAGGAGGAGGAGATGCTCCATTTTTTCAATGATGTCACTGCCTCTGTGTTAAGGATAAAACAAGGAGGGAGAATGCTATCTTCTTTTTCTAAGCTAAAACACCCCTCCCTACTCTTGTGTCCTCCTTCCCTTTAGACTTGGAAGCATGATACTGCACATAATTCAGGAATCATTTAGGTTGGAAAATTCCAGCTGTCAGCCGAGCACCATGTTCACCACTCCACCATGTCACCCAGGGGTACATTCACGTGGCTTTCTGAACACTTTTGAGCCAGGGATGGTAAATCCACCACTGCCCTGGGCAACCCGAATTTTAATGACAAATTGCTTTTGGAAATAGTTAACCAACGACAAGAAGGGGGTAAGCATTCAGCTTTGATGCAAGACTTCCCTGTGCCATTTTCTTGGAGACAGAGGGACAATGCTGTTGCAAGTGATTAGTCTTTTCCTGTAATTTTCTCAAGTAATGATGACATATTCTTTTCCAAATCTGATATAAGTCAAGGGAATGGTGGGCTGATGCACCAATGCAGGGCTCTGTCCTTATGGCAAAGATCTAATTCCAGAGCACGAGTGCCTGCTGGGAGGCAGAGCTCATGGAGCAGGGCCCGAGTGTCTGAACATCAGGGGAGGGCTGGCCATTCTCTTCCTGAGGTTTTAAAAGTAGAACAAAGTTCCCAATGTAGTGTGGAGCCATCCTACTGACTGTGGGATTATGAATTGTAGATTGTGGAATTATGAAGAAGAGGCTGTGCTGTCGCTTGTGGAATGCTGAGTGTGTCCCAGCAGAGTCGTTTCTGTAACAGAACTGTTTGTTTTCCAGGAGTATTTTTCATTGTGGAGGATGATATCAAGGAGTTCACTAAGCTGAAATTGGATAAGCGCTTCTACGTGATGCTCAGCATCCTGAGGCACTGCCAGAGGCTGAGAGAGATCCGCAGCTCGGGGCTGGTCCGCTACGGCATCTGCTGACGGCTGCCCTGGGAGGAGACCTGCCCTGCCAGCAGGCAGCACGGAGGGACAGGCAGTGCTCTGTCAGGCTGAATTAGAGTGGCCTTGAAGCCTTGGAGTTTTGTTTTGTGAAGTCTGGGGTAGCTATAAATCCTAACCAGAAAGGCAGCTGGGCACGCTTCCTGGTCAGCACATGAAAATAAAATTTTTTGCGTATTAACAGTGTTCCTTTAGTCCTTTTGTGTTTCTGAGTGGGTTTTTTTCCCTTTTTTTCCTCTTTCTGTCAGAGAATTTTTCTCCCATTTGTTGTCTAAGAGATGGGAACAATGGATATTTAGGAGAGACAAAAGATATGGTACGGGAGGGGGGGACTGTGGGGTGGGGAGGAAAAGGGGTGCAGTTTGCTACTGTCCCTTAGCTGCGGGTATTTCTCTTGGGAAATGCAGAGATACCACGAGCCTGGGCTGGAGGTCGGGGCTGGGTTTGTCCTTCGTGCTTTTGGGATTGGAGAGGGCACAGGTCGGGTTTGGGGTTTGGGGTTTTGCTGCGGAGAGAATTCACTGCTACTGCACTGCTGCTGTCCTGCAATTGCTTCTCCTTACAGTGAGCAAGCCTTTGCTTGTGAGAGCAGCCCCTGAACTGGTGCCTTTCCAGCACCCAGCCTCACTGGGAGGGACCCTCCCCACCTGCTGGAGTGCCTCAGTGGGAACCCGGGACCCTGACCACCTCCAGAGGCAGAGATGTGTGTCCTGAAGGGAAACCCGGGATCCTGACCCCTCCAGAGGGAGAGATGTGTGTCCTGGCTGCTCACAAGAGCCCGGCTGCTGGTTCCCAAATAAAACCTGGGATCCTGACTCTATCCAGAGGGAGGGATGTGTGTCCTGGCTGCTCACAGGAGCCAGGCTGCTGGTTCCCAAAGGAAACCTGGATCCTGACCCCCTCCAGAGGGAGAGATGTGTGTCCTGGCTGCTCACAGGAGCCCGGCTGCTGGTTCCCAAAGGAAACCTGGATCCTGTCCCTATCCAGAGGGAAGGATGTCTCTCCTGGCTGCTCACAGGAGCCCGGCTGCCGCTGCCCAGCCCCTCAGTTCCTCCACCGCTGCTTCCAGCTTTTTGCTTCCCTTTAACCTGAGCTGACACCCCGAGCGTGCCGGACCCTGTGGCTCCTGGCAGGCTCCAGAATCGATGCCACTCTCTGTTCACCACCCCGGGCTGCCATCCCTGCTGCTGCCCTGAGGTTCCTGCTGAAACCCGGGTGAAAAATCAAACCCCCACAATCCCTATAGAGATTTGTAGGGACGGTATGTTTTTATAAGAAAAGCTGTGTTCTTTTTCTCTCATGAGCCTATATGTGCTGTTATCCTAACATCTCATCTAAACCACCTCCTCTTGTACCATGTCAGCATTAACGTGAAATTTAAAGTGCAAAATACCCCAAATGATCTCTGAACTTTGTCAATAAAGTAATTCTAAATTCCCTTTGTGTGTATGTGTGTGCGTGGTGGTTGCATTTTGGGGTTTTATTTTTTGGTCTTTTGCTCTGGAATGTTGAGATCCAAGCTGTGGTCTCTACTCTGCATTGTATTGAAAAATATTTGAGGACCCCAGGGATTGTCCTTGGCTTCTGATGGGTATTAAAAAGCAAGACCTGATAGTATACACTATTATCCTGGTTTTGCCTACTCACTGTAAAGTCCTGCTAGTTTTTTTCTAGGTTTTTTTTGGTTTTTTTTCTCTTCAGATGTCACTGAATGGAGTATTTTTATTTTTATTTCCTCGGTACTTGTTTTGGTCGGGGTAAGCTTGGTTGTTGCCCAATTCTTTTCCCCTCCTTTTCTTGTTTTGTTGTGGGGATTGCAGTTTTTGCTTAATTAGATGTTGGTTAACAGCTTTCAGTCTGTTACTATGGAGTTTTTAATTTTCTAAACTATTTTCCCTCGGGCAAATTCTCACAAATGTGCTCATTATTTTAATTCCCTGTCCTAACATTATGTTTGCCTTCTCCCAGGGAGCTCTGCCCATGGATTGTGGTCACCTACTGTGCCCTTCCACTTTTCTTCCTCCAAAAGCTCCTGCTGGCCAGGGAGCTGGAAAAAGCAATTCCCTGGTGTCCCTGGGGCTCGGTGAGCACCTGTCTCCTGTTTTGGGTGAGCTTTTTGGTGTGTCCAGGGCATTTTGGGGACAAAACATTCGCCTCCAGGATCTGCTTCCAAAAATGGCAATTTCCTGCAGGATGTGCCCTGATTTCTGCCTGGCCAGCGCTCCCTGAATTCACTCACAGCAGAGAGAGAGGCCACAGCCCCGGGCACCAGCCCTGCCAGATGGTTTCGTTTAAAACCCCTCAAAGGGGGTTTAAAAGCCCCCCCAAAGCCCAAGCTCAGCCCCCCGGCGCTCACTCACACCCTGCCGGAGCCGCTGGGGCAGCTGCCGAAAACGGGGGCAGAGAAAATGGAACAGGGGCAGCACCGATTTAAGGGCCTGATGGAGGAGGAGGGAGCCAAAACATCCCACAGCCCTGATCCCTTCTCCTGAGCTTCCCACAGCCTTCATCCCTTCTCCTCAGCTTCCCACAGCCTTCATCCCTTCTCCTCATCTTCCCACAGCCCCAATCCCTTCTCCTCATCTTCCCACAGCCCCGATCCCTTCTCCTCAGCTTCCCACAGCCTTCATCCCTTCTCCTCAGCTTCCCACAGCCTTCATCCCTTCTCCTCATCTTCCCACAGCCTTCATCCCTTCTCCTCAGCTTCCCACAGCCTTCATCCCTTCTCCTCAGCTTCCCACAGCCCTGATCCCTTCTCCTCAGCTTCCCACAGCCCTGATCGCTTCTCCTCATCTTCCCACAGCCTTCATGTGGACTGGCTGGACTAGGCTGGGCTGGGCTGAGATGGGCTGGGCTGAGATGGGCTGGGCTGGGCTGGGCTGGGCTGGGCTGGGCTGGGCCGGGCTGGGTTGGGCTGGGCTGGGCTGGGCTGGGCCGGGCCGGGCCGGGCCGGGATGGGATGGGATGGGATGGGATGGGATGGGATGGGATGGGATGGGATGGGATGGGATGGGATGGGATGGGATGGGATGGGATGGGATGGGATGGGATGGGATGGGATGGGATGGGATGGGATGGGATGGGATGGGATGGGATGGGATGGGATGGGATGGGATGGGATGGGATGGGATGGGATGGGATGGGATGGGATGGGATGGGATGGGATGGGATGGGATGGGATGGGATGGGCCGGGCTGGGCTGGGCTGGGTTAGGCTGGGTTGGGCTGGGCTAGGCTGGGTTGGGCTGGGCTGGGCTGGGCTGGGCTGGGCCGGGCTGGGTTGGGCTGGGTTGGGCTGGGCTGGGCTGGGCTGGGCTGGGCCGGGCTGGGTTGGGCTGGGCCGGGCTGGGCTGGACTGGGCCGGGCCGGGCCGGGCTGGGCTGGGCCGGGCCGGGCTGGGCTGGGCTGCTCACCACAAAAAAGGCACCACACAGCCCAGGGGAGCTGCTTTTCTCCCGGCCAGAAGCCCATACATGCCCCCAGAAAGTTGTTTTTTTTTTAACGCTCTTTGTTCCTGCTGCTGTGCTGTTTTGTCAGTTAAAAAAAAATTAAATAAAATATCTTTTTGTTCACCCGAACTCCTCTTCTGAGGAGGCACTAATGGAAATAATTCTCTGTAGAAATCAATGCTGGGAGCAGCTCGCACCCCTGAGTGTTTAGTGCTGCGTGTTGTTTCGGGAGGCAGTGATTTCCATCTGTGAGAGCACATGTTCCCTCTCACCGAGCCCATGAGCAGGAAGGGAAAAGGAGAATTTCATGTCATTCGTGGATCTTGGCTTGCAGGGAGCTGATACTGAGCAGAGCTGGCAAAAGAAGTTCGTGGATGCTGAGGAATACCACAGAGCAGCCTCTCAGCTGGAAAATTTTCTCCTCCATACAAGGGTTAATCAAACTTTTCTCTTAATTAAAAAAACAAAAATATAATAAATTTAAAAGTATAAAACCTTTTGTCCAGGGTGGTGCATGCTGTGCCTCGTGGGACTGAATAATCCAGACAAACCACAGTGATTGCCATCAAAGATCTATTTGCCTTCCTCTGCATGTTGAATTTGGGATCTATGTGTGTCACAACCATCATAATATACAGTTAAGCACTTGCAAAGCTTAATATCTCATAATTAGGTTAATAATTTTCCACATTAAAATGGGGCTTCCTTATTAAGTGTCTGCTTTTTCTTTTTTTTTTTTTTTTTTTTTTTTTAATATAAGTTTTGTGTCAGACAGAATTGCCTGGGAATTGGGATGCAGTTAAAATGCAAGAAAACTTGTTTAAACAAAACAGCATTAAACACTGGAGTTTATGTGCAGGCAGAGGTACTTTAACGTTTTATATACAGACAGAAATATGGAAAAAGTTTATTTCTGCATGTGTTGCTTTCACAGCTGAATAAAACTCAGTATTTTGGAAAGTTGTAATTGAAATAAATTAAGTGTATTTCTATTTTGGTGTTTCAGGTTGTGGTCTCAGCTTCCATGGACGGAGAATTACACTAGAAAAACAGGTTTTCCCATTTCCTCTATTCTTCATGAATTTATTAACTGCAGAAAAATCAGTGGAATATCATAATGCTGAATAGCAGCCCAATTTTTTGTCTATTTCAGTTGACTAGTGTGTCTAATTTAATTGATGTGAGACTGGCAAGTGGAGTCCAGGCCTTTTCATCACCTCCTGAACTGAAGCTGCTTGGACTTTCTGGGCATTATTTTAAGGCTATTTCATGCTCAGTAGAAGTTTTATGGATTGATCCAGTTGCAAGGTTTGTCCTTCCCCCCCCACACCTTTTTATTTCCCCTTTTCCCAAATTTCAGGGGGAATTTGTTCCCGAGAGAAGCCGAGCTCCTGTTCCCACCTCCTTTTTTGTGCTGGCCAGCCTCAGCTCGCTCATCCCTGCTGATGAGCCCTGTGCTGAGCAGCAGCATTTCGGTTATGAGCCAATCTCTTATGTTTGATATTTATGCAGCAGCTGAGAAGCCTAAATAATTAAATTTCCCCGTGGCCCGAGCAGGAGCTGGTGGAGCTGCCGTGTAGATGTGAGCTGCGCTGCCTTGCAGGATTTGCAGGTGTGGTGGTGGCTCCTGTGTGCCTTTCCTGACAGAAACTGCCCCACTGACCATAAATAATTCAGCTGTGGCTCAGCACCTCGGGTTAACCTTTGGGAACACACCAGGGCTGCTGCTGCGT